GTTTAAGAAGATGAATAGAGCAGCTCATTTAAAAACTATTTTTAAAAATGAATTCGAAGTTAATATGAAAACATCCAATTGAAAAGAAACTATTATATCTGGACTAAAATGACTAGGAATATTTTAGGAGATGGAACTTTATAGCTACTTTGCACAAGCCACTGACTAGCTTTAAAGAAATATTTTAAAAAAGAAGCATTATTCTTCATAATAATATAAAGGATTGATTGATTGAGTCACAGAGGAATTGGGTCAACTAGACTATTGTGCACTGAAATAATTTTATTAACCTCGTGAAGTATAAAATTAAGATTATAAAGAAAGTGGATAAATTTTTTAATTATTAATAATTAATAATTAATTTTAGTTATTTTGTAGTCTGTTTCTGTTAGTTCACACCTTCCAATAACAATTATTGGCATCAACATTGAAAGTTAGATAGGTAAAATTAAAAAAAAAAAGCAAACTATCCTTAGCAATCCGTTTTGATTCTTAATTCTTCATAATTATAGATAGAAGGATAGCCGTATTATAACCAATTGGATGAATAGACTTAGAAATGTTGTGGCTTTATAAGTTTTAATTAAGGTTATTATTAAAAGAGCAGCGCCTTTAAATGATTAAAGTAAATGTCTGAGAGTTCCAAAACAAATAGATAAAGAGAATATTTCTCTATTTCTGACAATAATAAACAAATGCAACTTTTAAAATCTTAATGTTTTACTTAATTAGTCAGTATTGATAAAATATCTATCATATTATGCAATTCATATACCTAAAATACTAGTTCCCAATTGTATCCGACATTAAAGAAAAAGTAGTTTGACTTAATCTTATATCAGACCGAGGTGATATTAGAAGCACAGCTATATAACAACAACTACATTAATTAATTTGAGGTATCATTGCCTATATTATGATTATATCTTTTATAATTATGTTAGGCATATCATATAAAGGAGTTCAGATATGTTTTTTCTGACAGAAATGGTTGTAGTTGAGTATATCTTTCTTTGTTATCATAGTGTTATCATCGTATTGTTAGTTTTAGTTAATTGTTACATAATTTATAATAATATATTCTAAAATATTATCGTTTAAGTTGTTATTTAATAAAGTTGTTATTTGAAGTTAGTATATGTGGTGATAGATTAGCCATAATTTTGCGATGTGGTCAATTAGTCAAAATTTTACCACGACTAAATAAAGCAAGTATAAGAAAATATTTTATAGATACGAAAAACTAATGAAATAAATACATTTGTAGTTACTATGCTGAAGTATATATAATATAAAGCAGTTTTATTTTCATAACATATTTGATTAAAAAATAAAATATGACCATGAAGATCCGTCATTATATAAAGATTAAATGTTAATAATATAAGTGCAAAAAATGAAGCATATTTTCAGGTTTGTTTTGCTTTGAAATATAAACTAAAGTGAATAGAATCTGTTGAAGATACATGGAAATAATAGGCAATATCTTCGAATTACTTTAAATGTTTTGGATTTAAAGTCAAAACATTTATTTAAATATATTTTGTCTATATGATTATTATTTTGTTGTGGCATCTGTAGTATGTTTTAATGATCTATTGTGCCCATATTTTTATGTTATTCTATAATATCGATAATCAGTATCGATTGTATAGTAACTCTAGCAAAATCTTCTGCAACTCTCACTAATTTTTTCAATTTGTTTTTACTATTTTATTCTATTTGTTTATTAAGTTCCTTTTTCGATTTGAAACATTAACACATTCAGCTGCTTCAGTAAATCTAAACACTGCTTGTTTAAATTTAATCACAAAAAGGACAAAAAGATATATCGTTTTTGTTGTTATAATTAATCCTTGTCACTTCATCAACTCCACACATAAATTCGTGATTTATAAGGATAACAAAACCGACAACAAAATTGCTGATAACATTATCCAACATGGCCTGCTTAATGTAGGCAATAAGTGTTATTGAAGTGCACATCCTTGGATTTCTCATCTAAGTTAGCATGAATCATCAAATCAGCACTGTAAGAATTATGTGAGCTATACATACATATGTATAAATATATTTGTATATAAACAGGATATAATATATTTAGTATATTGTTTGAAATTTTATTGCTGTAACCCAATCAATCAGTCTTAATACTCATTATCCATTCAATATTTTAATTCTACGAACTCTTTTGACGACGTTTCGTTTCATTGTCATTTCTCAACTTCCGTCTGGTGCATCCTTTTTCCTGTGCTGCGCTGAGGTTAACAAAAAGGAATTCACTATAAAATATTGTATTATTAAGGATACACTTTTATGCAGTACTCTCACATGTACTTATACTACTTTATGTACAACCATAATCTTTTTTTTTGGCAATTTGCCACCCACATAATGAATACAAGAAAAAACCTGGACAAAGGATCTGGAGTTCAATAAAATTCGAAGCGATTTGTGTAGCTGAATATATATATTGATTTGTATGTGTTATCTGGTTTATTGGCTTTTGTATTAATTTGTCTCTGCGACTGACACATATTCATCAGCGTTTAGTCAATATTCCGTAGTCTTCTTTCATCGCCAGTCGGGCGCTGTAATGAGGGCGTATCGAATTGCAGGATTTGCCGTTGTGTTCTCGTTTATTTTTGTTTTGGGTGAAACGTTTTGCGGAAGTCTGCACATGCTACGCCGTTACATATGCGCATATTTTTCGAGTATCTTTTATCTTTGCACACTTTTGTGTGTGAGTATCTACGAGCGTGTATCTTAAATGCCTTTTCGCATTGTTGGCCTTAATCGCTTTAAATTGTGTCAATTGTGATTTGAGTTTCGTATGAGTTTTTATTGCCCTTTGTTGGTGTAAGGGGATTACATACCTTACAACTGTTCCTTCTGCTCATCGGCAGTTGTTCCCTATTATTGTTATCGATTATCGTTTGTATTGAGTGAAGTGGGTGTTGACATTTTTATTGCTTTCGATTTTTGGTAGACAGCGCTGCAATTTGGTATTGTGCGTGTCCTGCCTGCGGTGACTTATGCGGGTGTTATGGGATTACGCTTTTCAAAATCAATTTTTATTTAAACAATTTAATTTGACATATTAATTGGTAATCCTATGTTGCGCTGTTTTATTTCTTCATGAAAACATTAGAGCTTGTTAAAGGTATTGTGGAAGAAAGCAGTATATTAAGCTAAAAAATGTATTATATTTTAGATAAACGAAGTTGTGGTGCGCCAATTCAACTATAGTAGGGTGTTCCTTTTAAGTAGAACGAAACTGAGGTTGTTGGCAGGTTGACTGATAGGTCATCGTGGCCTGCATTATCTTCTTAATAAGAATGAGTTGAGATGAGATTTCTAGTCACACTATTCTAAAACTATTTTTGTCTTGTTTTTAAGAAAACTATCTAATAAAACAGAATCGTCTTTGCTTAGACGCAGATGG